CATACTAACAATCATCCTGGATTATCCATTACGGATCAATTACTCTACTGGTGCATACTAAAATAGACGAAGATTACTGCGTGATAATTACGACCGTAAATCACGTATTCATCTGTAGGCTATCTGAAATGTGATACATCAGACAGGGATGCAGTGCTGCATGACTCGTACAATGCGCCCACTGCCCGAACTTCTTTTCGCTTATGCTTAACCCTGGTAAGGTTGGGGCCCCTTGGCCTGCTGATCCTGGCCCCTTTGTTGACATGGAAGCAGTACTCGTTTTGGTCAAACTCAAATAGATTAATTCAAGGCTGTGTGCATTCTTTTTGCGAGGTTGTGAGACTGTACCCTGTACTCATCTCTCCCACACACACTTTTGGTCCAATGTTCACATTTTTGGATTAGCCATACAATCATGACCTCTCGGTATGATAATAATCCATGTGGACCAGTGGCAATACAAACTCTACAAAACTCTACTGAAAGTGGAATACTCGGCAAAAACAAGCGGATTCCGAGACAAAGGAACTAATGAGCCGAAACATGTACGGAGTACTTCAAATCCACTCGGAGAACCACGTTTTCTCCTGATAGACAACGCCGAACGCCGAGACTCAATCATCCTTGAATGCAATTGCCGTCGACCACATCCGCCTCGTTGTCCAATTTCCCAATCAGGATACTGATGTGTATCTACTTGCTTTCCTAGCAATAATCATCGGCCGATGTACTGGCTAGTGCCACCGACGCCCCATAATTTTACATTCGATTTATGGGACGCCTCATTTCCAGACTATAGTGCTTGGTTTTGCTTGGGGTCCGGACCTCCGGTGCATAAATCAGGGATAACATGTGCCATGCTCCGTACAAGTTCTCTGTATACGAAATACTACCGAGTACAACGTACGTCAATCTGCTACCCCAGCTAGGGATGCACGTGTTAAAACGTCGTGCCCACTCCGTAGAGCTACACACTCTCCGGAGCAATCGTGAAACGGTTGTCTACTCCTGGCGCTCTACGGAGTACTCCGTACTAATGCAACCAGATCTGTGCCTTAATTTTATTCCATCACCCACTAAGTTTAACTGGAGCACTATCCCTTTCGTCCGTGCGGTGCCTAGTGCTTGTTAACGTTGTTTATTTTGCACTCTAGTTCCTCTAGTGCCTGTCTCCAAGTTCCTCCAATGTTCAGCCCTGTCCGCGAATATCCGTCCATGTACGGGTATGGAGTAAGCATGCATACCCTGTGCTCAGACTGGTGCCATCTCGTTTCAATACCACATAATAAAGTCCTGTCCTATGCTTGATATGAGGGCACTGGACTTGGAGTTAATTATTTTCACCAACTCCTAGCACTCCTTCAGAATCCTAGCGTTGCGCTTTGTTCTAGCTTCTTCGGCTGGTTGTCTAGGATGATCACATGGCTGAGTCGTGAGACAGGGGTCGGGTTCAATAATATAAAAAAGAATAAATCACTATAGCCCAGTCATCATCTTCTTTCTCAGCCGATCATCCGATCATATGTCTTGAGCTCTGGTCACAATTTAAAATTAGAATCTCGGACTAGTCAACAAGATAGGCAAAACCGGCATTAAAAGGTGGGTAAATAAACAAGCTCCACGGAGTACGGAGTAAGGAGCAGATGCTCCGCATAGCTTCTAGTTCTTTTGGTCCGACATTTTACGAAGTACTCCGTACAACATACAGAACAGAAGAGTTGGGTTTGGCAGTTGCGAGTCACTTTCTTCTCCTTGATTTGTGAGTCAAATAGGAATTTATGCTGTAAAGATGGTGTCTGTTTTTATCGAGGTGACTTGGGGTTGGGGGGTCTTGAAAAATTGGGTTAGTAAAGGAGAAAAACAGACAAAGTAAACTATGCCGGACCTTGCCGGTTATACCTACCAGCGCTTTTTTTTTTAGCTTCAGGTACTCCGTAGTAAATACTTGGATACTTGGATTCTGGCTAGTCAGATTTGGACACATCGTGCGAGAGGCTCCGTGTTGCGGATGTCTCCGGATAAGTCGCCCCCCCCCCCCCCCCTCCCTCTCTATTTTGTTCGGGAATGAATCGGCGACTTTATTCCTGGCCCCGTTTGTCAATATACTACAAACAATTAATTCCCCCGTGTATACTTCTCAGGCTCAGTCCTGATTTACATGGTGAATCAGCTCTGGTCGCCGTTATGTTGGGCTGTTTTCAAACTGTTCTCTTTTCTGTTTGATTTTCTTACATGTATATATATTTTTACAGATTTATCATACACTAGCCCGATGATACCTCGGATAAGTCTCAGCAATCAGCACGGCCAAAGTAACGCGGGAAAGATACGATATCCCGAACGCTGGAGACACCAGTCAAGTAGCCTAGGAATCGATCAAATCCGAGCCCAAAGCCTCCATGAGGGGCAGAGCCCCAGCGTCGGAGGTCAGCATACCATTGGAGGTGGCTCAGGTCCTCGTCGGGGGTAAGATGAGGATACAGCGACTCGCCTGAAGCTGGATCATCAGACTCGGGAATCTGCCGGGGCTTGATCAGACCGTGCTCACGCATGTTCTTGATGAGATCCGGCAGGCGATGCTCGCGCAGGGAGCCCCCGGCGACTTCGCTGACTTCGGGGAGGAGCAGGTCGAAACATGCCACTGTCTCCCCGGGCGTGTTGCTGTCATTGGCAACCTGTGAGGGAGCCATGTAGAACGGCTTGACGGTTTTCGGGTAGTCCGTCACGAAGACAGGACGTCCTTGATGGAGCACCTCGACGATATACTTTTCATGCTCAAGTTGTAGACCTCCATTCCATGTTGGGGGATGCTCAAATGACGCACCGTCTTCGGTGACAGCACGCTGGAGCATCTCCATGGCTTGGGTGTATGTCACGCGGTGCCATTTTGGCCCATCCATTAGATCGACCCATCTTTGACGCAGAGATCCCGTCTCCTCGGCGCTGGATTCCTGGCCTGGCTCGCCAGACCGCTTCGCCGACAAAATCTCTTGGCCCACAGGAGTATTATATAGACGACGCGTCAGATCACGTAGCAGATGTTCCACTAAGCCAGTAAGAGAGTCAAGATCGGACATGAAATTGACCTCGGCTTCGAGCATATAGAACTCGCTAAGGTGACGCGGTGTGTCACTCTTCTCCGCCCGGAACACGGGTGTCAATGTCCAGACATTGCCCAACTCCGCCGCATAAGCTTCGAGGTGAAGTTGCGACGAAACAGTAAGATATTTTGGCGCTCGGAAGAAATGCTCGTTCTCGGTGCGGGGTGAAGCAGCACCGCGTGGCACCAATGTGAACGTCTCGCCGGCGCCTTCACAATCCGAGGACGTTATAAGGGGGGGCTGAACTTGCGTAAAAGCTCCGTCCGGATGAGAGTGGAAGACATTGCCAAGTTGGAACATGCACTCGGATCGGAAGCGCGAAAGGAGAGAATTGAAGGGCGTTCGAATGCGGAGGTGTGGAATCTGACGCAGGAAGTCGGGGCTGTGGTACTTTTTCTGGATCGGAAACGTCTGCGGCCATAGAGGTCATGGTTAGCGTGAGGTCTGAAGACAGCTGGGGGAAAGCTCTTGGGCTCACCTCTGGGTCGGATGCGCCTACGACCTTCACATCGGTTGTTTGGAGCTCATGAGTTTGCTCTTTACCCGGTGGGCAAGCTTTCCAGATGCCCGATATTTCGATTGCAGTTCCGGTCGACAAACTGGAGAAAAGGCGCTCGAGTTAGTCTTGATTGACAGACAGGTCGAGGATCACAACTCGCGCGCGGTCAAACGTACTCTGCTGCCTGCGCGGGGTTCAAAATTGCCTGTAGTGGCTCCACGGTAGAGCCATCAGATATTTCTGCGAATGCAAAACGTTTCTGTTTCCGTACAGACCGAATGAACCCATTCACTTTAATTTCTTGGTCCTCGAAGTTGCTGGCTCCACCGTTTTTGGTGGCTTGGAGGATCTGCGCGCATCGCACGATAGACGGACGGTAATCAGTTGAGCTATGGGTAAGTCTGCCCACGGAGGTGGTGAAGGGTCGCCGCCATATCTGCATTGCTGAAGGTGCTGTGGGTTCGATGATCGGGGAGTTCGGAGGTTGCCAGAAAACTTATCGGCGTTGTGTCGGTCCGATTATCTTTGTCCCGAGGTCAATGATAACGATTTGGTAAACACTGTTGGCACAGTTGATTAACTGGTTTAGGGTAAGTAGGCCAGGTGTATAGAAAGATTACTGTGATTTTACTAGACATCTTAAAATCTTGTAACCATTTTTAGAGAAAGGAGGGAATATATATACAAACCTATCCAGATACATGGGGATGTTTGGAATCAATCCATTGTAAAATGTTTCAATCGCTACAAGCTTCTACAGCCAAAGCACCAATCTTCAAATAGTAGACGTGTTCTTCAATTCGAATCAATACAATCATTCGTGCTTTACCATGTCTGCCTTGGACTCGATGACGATGCACAGGACCGTTCAAAACTTTCGTAAACTACAGAAAATCGAGAAGGATCTAAGCATCAGACTGCGTCTTGATAAGCGTCACTCATTTCTTCCTTGTGAGACTGAAGAAAGTTCTGAACGTGGGAACAACCTCGAGATATTTGGGGTTGTCCAAATTTTTTAAATAGGCCTGGCCATTTATACACTAGCGTTGGTAAATTCTGACTGCCAATAAAGTAAATGAATACACACCGAGACCAGTATGAATAGAATAAGAAGGAAAAAAAAATTGAATACAGCATAACCACATGGGTGTTGAACAAAACAAGCATAGCAAAAGTTCACTTGGAAAATGGATTGACATCAGCATTCTATGGGATAAGTAGCTTGAGAACTTGAAACAACGATCGAGAATTGGCTCAGCAAGTGTTTCAAAGAGTGGGATTTCAGCACAACCGAAAGTAAATGACGTTGCAAGAGTTCCGGTCAAGCTAAAGTGCAGCTAAAAGAATGACTGGGTCGTTATATAACACTGAAACAGAAAGACAAGCAAACATTCCATACTTCACTGCGAAGGCCGTCTATCATAGATCGATCTTTCCTCTTCAATCATATCAATCGCATCCATGAGGTCGCCATTTGCCATGGCCGCATACACAGCCATCCTTGACCGTCCGCCCTCCTGTTCCGCCCCGTAACCCATGTCGACAAGAGCAGACACACATCGTTCAACTGCCGTATCATCAGACTCAGGAACACTGGTACCACGAGTACTAGAGAGTTCGACCCTCGTCGTATTTTCTACCGGGAAGCTTCCGGGGATCTGCACACGAGAAGAGGCACTCTTTCGTTCTCGCCTAGAAAGGCGCGCCCATGCGTCTGTTCCCGCAGGACCATGCGATCTGTCCCCAGGATGACGCATACTTGCGGAATGATTGAGGGGATGATGACTGTCAGTCTCAGAAGCATGCCAATGGTTTGGGTTATGAGGTTTGTGCTCAGTGGCTCGACGCTTCAACTTGGTCGCAGTCTGGGGGCCATTGAGATCTACCACTGGGCGCATAGTCTCCTCGACACCGAATGAATAAACAAGCGGATCCCGAATTGCTTTGCTAAAGTCGGAAGGTTGTCCAGCATCGACGACCGATGATTTATTGGCAGCTGCATCTAGATGAGAAGCTGGTTGAGATTGACCAAACGCCTTCCGTGTAGGATGCAGGGGTAAAGCGTGAGTGGAAGGACCCTCAGGGTGCTTTGTGTCACTAGCTGTAGGTTCTGTTACAGGGCGTTCCTGCCGATTTGCAAGAACTTGGGCCTCCCATTGAGACACAGGTGGGAAATGAGATTCTGTATGTGAATACGAAGAAACACCCCGATCGCTCAATGGATCAATGTGATGTGCGCTCGTCTCGGGCAAAAGCGAAGGAAAACGTGCGCTGAATGCAGGGTCATCGCTTGGAGAATCAAGTAGTGCGGACGATTCCGTCTGAGCTTGCCCAAGATCAACATTCTGCGTGAGTTCTACGAAATTGACCGACTTTCTCCGATTCTCCGTTTTTCTAGGCTTGCATGGACTCTTCTGAAGCCTGTCAGGAAACGGGGACGAAAAGGGCCCCGATATGGTACTGTTTCGTTCTGAGGGAGCGTTGTTTGTAATGCTCGTCTTAGTCCGAGGGCCATTTGTCTGAGTATCGTGAGTGGTTGTACTAGCATTGGGTGAAATATGCGCCGGACGTACACTTTCGATAGGGGGATGATACATAGGCTCAAGGTTTATCGAGTGGCCGTCAATGACAGCACCCTGCAAGGCGTCCATTGCAGCGAAAGCCGGATATTCTGAGGGGAAATGAACGTAGCCAAAGCCTGCATGTCTTCCTGATGCGGTCTCTAGCGGGAGATCTACCTTGACCAGAAATCCCTTGGCGGCAAACACGTCCTGTATCATCTTGTCGGTAACCTTGAAACCAACATTCCCGATAAACAAGGATTTAGTGGCGGGCTTGTTTTTCCATTCTCCAGACTTGGTTTGCGATGTATGTGTAGTCTTCGACGGAGCATTGAACACAGGAGGAGGTCGAGACGCGAACGCAGGTGGCCCTTGCGGCCAGTAGGTGAAATTCGGCAGCAATGCAGGCGGTAGTGAAGGACAGGGAGGCGGGGGAGCATGATAAGTTTGGAATGGATTCCAAGATGGAGCAGGCCATGAAGGAGGAGCCCAATGATTTGATTGTACTGGTGTGGGTTGACCATGGCGACTTGGATTGGGGGGTACTCCTGCTTGTGCAGCATCAGGTGGAGATGATTCGCCTAGGCCTGCTGTTGATTTCTCGTTTGTGGCTGTTCTCGAAGGATTCGCATTTGAGTTCTGGGAGCACGTGGTGCCCGAGGCCGTAGCTTCATTGTATGCAGCAATGTTAAAGGATGGCCCGGATGCTCCGGGATTTGGCACCTCGGAAGTCGAGTTCGACGTAGAGGCTGTTGATACAGCGCGCCCAAACTCGCTTTCGAATGCGGCAAATAAAGTTTTTCCGACCTCGTTGAGTTCGGAGGCCATCATGCGAAGACCATCAGCGGCGGTTTCAGCGACAGGCCTTCCTGCTTGGAAGGCATCTTCTGCCATTTGTCTTCCTCCATCTGGGAGGTTATAAAAAGCGGTTCTTAGGTGAGCTTCAACAGTGATGAGAAGTGCCCGCAATGACGCTTCCACGTTCTCAGGCAAGGATTTCTGTGCATTTTCAAATTGTCTTTGGGCATTCTGTAACTGTCGCTGTAACCCAGGGATTTTTGTTCTCCATTCAGACTGTAGCATAGTAGCCCCGTGGATCAACTGGTCTAGGACCTGTGTCGCTAAAATCTCAACGGGATGAGGGGATCGCCCAGAGTTTACGTTGACTGATGATTCAATAGTCGGTGCGGAATTAGGTAGTAGAGGTGCTGGACTCTCCAAGGAGTCAGCAGCATTGAACATCTTTGCTAGTTCAGCCTCAAATGCTTCCATAAGAGGCTGAGGCTGGTCCGCAGAGACCGATGGGGAGGTAGTGATGTGGACCGGGACTTCATGTTGCTCTTCGAGGATAGTAGCCTTAGAAGTAGTTTGCGTGCCGGTTTGCTTACCAGCCAAGTCTTGTTTCGGAACGTTGTGTTCAAATCGCTTCCACAACTCGGTCACGGAGTTTGATCGGTGAATATCAAATACGTGCATCGGACTGATGTCATCGGGAGAAGGTTCGACGGATTCAAGCTGCGTATTAGTGTCTAGGGGCTCATCAAGGCGCTGAGAGAGCTCAAGAGCGGATCCTACCTAAAAGAAGGGTGAGATTTTGATGATCGAGAACCGACGAACGGTTGTGAACTTACGGTGATTGTTTCGTCATCATCATCGACATCCATATAAGTCAACCTCGCGCGAGGATGGTTTGAGGCTAATTCATCGTAATCTGTCGCAGAAATCTGGACCACTCCTGGAGGTGCACGAGGATCCGCAAGCTGCTCGGGCTCTTGATGAGTGGATACCCGAAGGTTTCTGACCTGGAAGGGCTTCAACATCGTGGAGAAGACGCCGTGTGAGGCCTGCGGATCAGAAACACGAACAAGTGGGGCGGTGTTACAGAATCAAAATCCAAAAAAAAAGATGAACTAGAGCTGATAGAGTTGACAAAGATATGACATGGGTTTTATGATGCCTCTGGGGCTTAGGAGACGGAGGGTGTATACAACATAAACAGGGAAAAAGATCACGAGTTTCATATGTTGCTGCCTATAGCAACACTTCCAAAAATTTCAAGTTTGAATCTTCCAAATGCAAGTAATGGAGTAAGAAATTCAAGCAATTTAGATAATTCAAGAAATTCCCCCAAAAGCACTTCGAGGTTTCAGGCAACAGGATAAAGAGAGAGTCTCCGATCACGTGTCGCTGGCTTTTCGCCTGGGATTCAAGGCGTCGACACTGAATGTCAACACACTTGAATGGATTCAATGGGCAATGAATAATACCATTTGAGAATAATGTCAACCTAACATCTTTCAAACCCTACACGACAGTGTCCACTCTTTTAATTTACCTACAGCAATTATTTCTACGATATTACCAATGGCTGGTCCATTCTTGGAAACGATACATCGCATGAACCGCCCCCGAAACTTAGCATTCCGACAACTTCGATATCACGTCGCGCCGCTCGAATCTTCTAGAAATCAATGGCGACCCCGAAATCTGCACCATTGCAGACTCCAGCCAATCGCAACGTGAACAACGTCGTATTAGGCGATCTCTTGTTTAAGCCATGGAACCAATCCATTTACCCTGAAGACCTCGTCGCCAAGGACGCCGATCGACTCTACGTTTGTCGCTGGTGCTTTCGATACTCATGTGATGTGGATATCTTTGAGGAACACAAACGCGCTTGCGAACATCGGATAACCCCGCCAGGCACGAAAGTCTACGACCATGGCGGGTATGCAGTGTGGGAAGTTGATGGACAAAACCACAAACTTTTCGGACAGAATCTGTCCCTTTTCGCGAAACTTTTCCTCAACCACAAGACTGTATTTTTTGATGTCGCGACCTTCCTGTACTACATCCTCACTTTCACCGACCCGGACGACTTCGACAGCTACTACGTGCTCGGTTTCTTTTCAAAAGAGAAACTCTCATGGGACGCGAACAATCTTGCCTGCATTCTGATATTTCCGCCTTATCAACACAAACAACTTGGGAAGCTGTTGATGGGGGTCAGCTACAAGCTCAGCGGGTGGGACTCCAATGGTGGGTGCATAGGTGGACCGGAGAAGCCGCTGAGTGAACTGGGCCACAAAAGCTATGTCCGTTTTTGGGCCGAACGGATTGCCCGATTTTTGCTCCGCGGCAAACCTAGCGGCAGCTCCATTGAAACCGACCAACAGAAGCCCAGCTCAATTCCGAAAGGCTCCCGCAAGAGACCCTTGCGCGAGACCATTACCGTTGAAGAACTCGGCCTGGGGACTGGCATGCTGACCGAGGACGTGATCACTGCCCTCAAGAGCATGGGGCTCTTTGAACCCCAGTCCACCCCGAAAAAGCGTAAATCTACTCGTACAGCTGCGGAGGACATTACTACACCTCCAGGTCAGATGGTCACTATTTGCAAATCTGATGTATGGGAGTGGGCTCAAGCCCATCATCTCTCCCTGGATGACCCAGTCAGGGAAGAAGGCTTTGAAGGACTTTGGCCTCCCGAAATTGTGTCTGATGGGGACGGCCACAGCGTCACCTCAGAAGAAGACTGATTCTCCAAAGGAGACAGTTGTCAAGTCGATGTACGATAGCGCTGATTACTGTATTTCCCTTTTAACGACGACAATGAGAAGCAACGTGAAGTTTGTGCATTTTTGAATAGGTTGCCTCTTGGTCCTTAACTTTGGGAGGAAATCAAGTCTTTAACCCTTTAAACTTTACATGAACTGCCTGACCTCGTAAATGAGAAAGTGCATTACTCTTCCTGACCACCGGGGCCACCGGCACCGGCTTTGCTCATCTGCCGAGCCTTCAGTAGCTCATCGCACAGAAGGAGGTTAGACGCGATGCCAGTGCTGGAAGCGATGCAGTTGCGCAGAACACGGAAGGAATCGAAGACACCCTCTTGGATGGGATCCATGGGTTCACCAGTGACCAGATCCAAACCGACAGTGTTACCATCAGTTGCCTCATCGTGAAGAGCCGCCAGCGAATCCTGGATATCGTGGCCCGAGTTGGCAGCAAGAGTTTTAGGGATGATCAGAAGGGCATCAGCGAATGCACCAACACCCCACTTGGCCTTGCCCTTCACAGTCTTGGTGAAGTCCTGAGACTGCAGGTGTACAGCACATGCAACTTGGAATGCACCAGCTCCGGGGATGACACAGCCGTCAACAATAGTGTTGTAGACAGAGCGCAAACCATCACGAACGGCATCCTTAACCTGGGTGATAGTGTGTCCGTTAGGACCCTTAATGAGGATAGTCACAGACTTGGGATCCTTGACCTCTTCAATAAAAGTGAACTTCTCCTCGCCAAGCTGGTGCTCATAGACCAGACCAGCCCACCCAAGAACCTCCGGAGATAAATCCTCAACACTGTTCTGGGCAGTTCCACCACAGACTAGCTGCAGACGCTCCATGTTTCTGCGCTTAGCTCTTCGCAGAGCGAAAATACCGTTCTTCACGAGAACATCCAAGCTGAGGGGGTCGATACCCTTCTGGTTGATGACAACGAATCCCTTGTTGGGGTCATTTCCACAAACCTCCTTCTTGAGGTCTACAATCTTCTGCAGCTTCGCATCCACAAACTTGCGCTCACTCTCAACCAGCTTATCTCTCTGCTCGGCGTTGGAGTAGTAGAATCCGGAATTAATTTCCGACTTTTCGTACTCCAGACTGACGTTCAGTGTCAAAATGAAAGCATTCTCCACCCGCTTAGGCATGTCGGGGTGTCTGGCTCCGTGGTCCAAGGCAAGGCCACGGATGAGCTGGGTATCCGATGATGACCGGTGCTGCATCGTCATAATTTCAACCATGTGCAAATCGGGCTTCTCAGGGGCTCTGTGAATGGCGAGCACTGCATCGACGATGTCGGGAGTAAGTTTCTCGGCGAGAGCACCATTAAGCTTGGTGGAGAGGGAGGTACGGGCAACAGATAGCAGCAGCTCTCGGTCAATAGGACGCTCGAGCTTGAAGTTTTCAAGGAACTGTGGGTGATGAGTTAGATCCAATTCAAGATTCAACTTTCTATCGCCATTGCTTACCTTTAAAGCCTCGGTCTTGGCAATCTCGTAGCCATCAGTGATGACACGGGGGTGCAGACCTTCCGAGATGTGACGCTCCGCCTGCTTCAAAAGCTCTCCCACCAGCAAAACGACAGATGTTGTTCCATCACCGGTAATATCATCTTGTGCGGTCGCAGCACGAGCGATCATAACCTTTTAATTTCATCAGCAATATTTAGACGACTCTCGAGGCAATTTCGTCTTACAGCCGTGGGATTTTGAATTTGCTGTTAATTGTTAGCTTAGAAGCTCCAAGTGCTGTGATTATGGGGGCAGAACGAACCATCTCCCGCAACAAAACGTTTCCATCCTTGGTCAATTTGATCTATCATAGCAAGCTTGTATCAGAAACAAAAATTTTCGTGCCGTTCAGAAGGAGTCGGGGATTGCATACTGCGCCTGCACCATCAACCAGCCTAAGTTTGTCAGCTCCATTGCCTTTGTATGTGAGGTGTGTTCGTGATAATCTTACATCTTCAAAGTTCCCGAAGGACCCAGGTTGGACTTGAGAACATCTTGAAGACCTTCACCAGCACCGATGTTCACCTTCAAGGCCTCTCCTCTCCGCTTCGTGAAATGTTAGTGTGCGGGCATATCATTGAGGGGCCATCTGGGAATATTTTCCATACCCTCGACTCCGCCTTGGGGTTAAGTAGTTGAGTTGCAGACATCTCCCAGGTAATAAATGACAGGGTATCACGTCCAATAACTCAAAAATATTAAATTAAGGGATGATAGAGCGCTTGTTCCACGATAGGTCCGCGGCCAAAAAGCCCACATTCGAGCATCCACGGTGTCACGTGACGAGATCAGCGGGACGGGTAAACATCCACTCCGACGCCCACCGTCATACCTCCGGTTCGGTGCCTTAGGATTCGCACTAGCGGCGAGAAAAAAAAATTGTCCATTTCCAGCCGTCGCCAACCTCACCAGCAACCCAACGAATTGCATTTTGCGAGGTTTTCTGGCCGGTGTTACAAGTTTTTATCATCATCTTGTGATTGACCTTGTATTGGCGCTAACACGATGGCCGATTTCCTACTTTTCGAGGGCCCTATGGGTTACTCGCTTTTCAAGGTTGCTCACCAAGGTGACTCTGTCGGCAATGCCTTGAAGGAAGTTCAGGAGGGTGTCAATGACCTTGCCAAGTTCGGCAAGATGGTCGAGCTTTCCAGTTTCCTGCCCTTCGAGTACGCTTTATCTGTCTTGATGAAATAGGTTTAATTTTTCATCGCCCACTAATAATTTATAGGAACAACAAGCAGGCTCTTGGAGAGATCAATGACATCTCCGAAGGTGTCGCATCCGAGACTCTCGTTTCTTTCCTTGAATTGAACCTCCCCAAGCCGAACAAGAAGAAGAAGGTGATTCTGGGTCTTGCCGACAAGGCTCTGGCAGGAAGTATCAAGTCCGCTTTCTCATTCGTGGACTGTGAGACTGGTGATACCAGCGAAGTCGTTCAAGATCTTCTCCGTGGTATCCGTCTCCACGCTAGCAAGCTTCTCAAGCAGTTGCGCGATGGTGACATGGATACTGCCCAGCTCGGTCTCGGTCACGCTTACTCCCGTGCTAAGGTAAAGTTCTCCGTCCAGCGTGACGACAACCACATCATCCAGGCCATCGCCATTCTGGATCAGCTCGACAAGGCCATCAACACCTTCTCCATGAGAGTTCGCGAATGGTACTCTTGGCACTTCCCCGAGCTTGTCAAGATTGTCTCCGACAACCAGCGCTACGCCGAGCTCGCCCTTTTAATCAAGGACAAGCAAGCACTGACCAGCGATCGTCTCCACGACATTGCCGCCCTTGTTGAGGATGATGAGGCTGTTGCCCAGAGCATCATCGATGCTGCCAAGACTAGTATGGGCCAAGAGATCTCCGAGTCTGACATGGAGAATGTTGTCGCCTTTGCCGAGCGCGTTGTCAAGCTCGCCAAGTACCGCAAGTCTCTCTACGCTTACCTTGTCGCCAAGATGAGCGTCGTCGCGCCTAACCTTGCCGCCCTAATCGGTGAAGTCGTCGGAGCCCGTCTGATCTCCCACGCCGGTAGCTTGACCAACCTCTCTAAGTATCCCGCCTCTACTGTTCAGATTCTTGGTGCTGAGAAGGCCCTTTTCCGTGCCTTGAAAACCAAGGGAAACACCCCCAAGTACGGTTTGCTGTACCACTCTTCCTTCATCGGCCGCGCTGGCCCCAAGAACAAGGGCAGAATCTCCCGTTTCCTTGCCAACAAGTGCTCCATTGCTTCCCGCATTGACAACTTCTCTGAGGCGCCTAACACCAAGTTCGGTGAGGCCCTTAAGAGCCAGGTTGAGGAGCGTTTGGAATTCTACTCCTCCGGCGCTGCCCCTACCAAGAACGAAGTCGCCATGGTACGCTGAGCTCTGTATACTCTACTTGATGGATCTAAACACTAACAATTCACAGAAAAACGCCATGGATGCCGTGCTGGCTGACCTTGATGTCGATGCTGACCAGAGCGATGCGGATATGGAAGATGCCGGAGTCGCTGAGGCTAAGGATGAGAAGAAGGAGAAGAAGGAGAAGAAGGAGAAGAAAGAAAAGAAGGAGAAGAAGGAGAAGAAAGAGAAGAGAAAGTCAGTGGGTGGTGAGGGCGAGTCCGAGAAGAAGAAGAAGCGCAAGCACGACACGGATGCCGAGCCCTCCAAGAAGAAGCAAAAGGCCTAGACGTGCAAAATGTTTGGACTTGGGAGTCTTTGTCATGGCGTTAGGTTTTGCTTTTGTCTTCATGACTCGATTGGTACGGCTTGCAGGTATTTGTAAATTATTACCAGGCCTTTTGCCTCAGCAGCTCTGACTATCGCTGCTCTGATATTGTTCAATTAAGGGTTTTAAGTTGTTAATCGTGTGGTCAAGCACTATACTTGTATGTAGTGAGGGGATTCCAGATTCAAGAAAAATTTATTTTTATTCCTAGCCGAACAAAAGACATTAGACTATAAATAATCCCTTGATGTATATTGTATGCGCGGCCATTTTAGTGGCGATCATTGTACCCCACAGTCTGACTCAATGCCGAACATGCAAGACCATAACCCCTCTCAGCCCTGACCTTTCCTCCCTCGTGAGCTCTGCGGGATGAACACCTGCATTTCCTGAGAATAACTTGGTGGTGGATACCCTATTTATTTACTAATGAGATCCATCGGGTTGCTCGGTGACGTCCCCACTACGTCCGTTTTCAGCATGATGCCGACAGGCTTACCATCATCTTTCTCTCCCAAGCGCAAACGAGAGGCCTCTGAATCGGACTGCTGTAGCCGCTCAGCGTCACCCATATCGATAGCCTCTAACGACAGTTTTAAGGAGGTTCCACTTCGGGACGAGGACGAGCTGGAAAGCTACAGTCCTCGAACTGTAGTGGCTGGAAAATTCGGAGAGTTAGCCATTCGTGGCGACCTTATTTCGGACTCTAGAGCCTTGACCGGCGACCTACAGCACGGATCTTTGGCTTTACCGACACAGAAAGCATGCGAGCCTGACAGCCACCAGCTCAAGAACATGCCTGAAGTCCTACCGGCCACTAGTAGCAAACCCAGTGGCCGCCAAGCGCTGCAATTCGAGCCGCCCACCACACAGGATCCGACTTCCATGCCCATTTCCCCCTCAAAGAAGAAGTCTGCAACTTTTCTTCGCAAGAATTTGGATCCCTCATCGCCATCTAAACGCAAGCAAAGATTGTCCCCTCCTCTCGCGGATACTCCATCTGAAGAAGACCCGCTTGTTTGGCACGATTCGGAAATAACAGGCCACAACCCATCCGACCCAACGGATGATGGATATGGAATCAACGGCATAGGCTTCAAACCCACTGCTTCAATTGCGTGGGAAAGGTCACAAAAGCGACAAAAGCAGGTAGCAGAATGGAAGAATCGCGAAGCTAGGGAGGCTCGTGAAAGACGGCGTGAACGGAGGAGGGATGGTATTGAGCTAGACAACTTGCGCGGCATCAACGAAGGTGCAATTCAGAAGCGAGTGAAATTCAATTTCTAGCAGGGCAAGCATGGCTGCGCAACGTGCAGCCGCATTTTGGATGTCTTTACTTCGGCGTTTCTCTCTTGAAGAGCAGGCTTATGGGCGGGGGATCTTTTTGCTTCTTTTAACCTTTCGGACAAATTGGACAATCCAACGATGATTGGTTGGACAATATGAACTTTGCTGAGAGCTATGATACACAGAGATGACTTGTGACATGACGTCGATCACCACTTGATCCATCGATCGGAATATACAGTTTTCGAAAATCGCATGAACTCCATGACTCCTTTTCATGAATCAACGTCGCTACCAGAATTTGTAATTGGAGGGATTGGTCCAGCTCTTGTTCTTCCTTTCCTCCTCAGCAAGACGCGCGCGCAATGCCGCTTCCTCCTCTGCCGCATCCTTCTCACGTTGTTTCTTGGCCTTCAGTTGGTTCATCAGATCGAGCGCTTCTGCCATGCCACTCAATTCATTATTTCGTCGCCAGCGGCAGTATTCATATGAGGCTAATGAACTGATCGCAAACATGCCAACAGCCCAGTTTCCAGCAGACCATAGATAATAGCGTCCTGCATTCACACATTAGCCACATGATTGTAGTGTTCCAATACCAAAGAGAGCATATCTACCTTTGAGCACACCTCGTAGACCACCAACTCCAAATCCAAGGCCAATGCCAGTCAACAAGGATTCCCGAGCACACGGTCTTTTGTGAAGAGTGGTCATTTCAGAGACCGGGAATGATCCAATTATCTCGGAGTATGATACATCCTTAGGATTCTTTCCCCGGGGCTTATAGGTTGCTTTGGCGAGCGCGTTGGCGGGATCTTCGGGGTTTCCGAAGGCATCCCATAGCTTTCCAGTTTGTGACTGAGACGGATTGTATTTCGGTTTCTGCGAATCGGCTGGGTCATTCGGGAGTTGTGTGTTTCTAACAGCCTCTGGGAGAGAGCTGGAGTCTCGTGAGTCTTCTGCCATAGTTGTGTAGGGTATTTCGCTTCTAGATTTCCACTTGCTGTGTTCCGCTGTTGAAGAAAGATCGGAGAAATAGATAATCCAGGCTGTCCCAAACCAGGAGGTTATTCCGGCAACTGACTACCATTTGACACGCGTGGGTGGCACGCGAACGCGTCTTGACCATCGAAATCGATTTGATTAGAGCAGATCGTAGGCCATTGCTGGACCCTCCTGGAGGCACAGTTAGCTTCAGAACCGGATCTCCTTCTATTCGCGCATATTTACAATTTTTTCTCAGTTTTTTTTTGACCCGAAATTCATTCACCTAGTGCGCATTTCATGTTGCACTCTGATCCCGCCCTTTGAAAGAGGTACTTGAACAAGCCCAGCCGGGCGAAGTGTCGCAATGCCTTCACGAAAGCCCAGCAAGTATGGGAACAAGTTCCGATCCAGTGCTGCATCCTCGAATCCTCGTGCCTCCAAAACAGTCCAATTCAACTCCTTACGCTCGACCGAGGCAACCTCTCAAGATGAGAAATTCGAGGCCATTCGATTGGCCGACAATATCGATGAGACTCTCGGCTTCCCACGATTTGAGTCTGGCGATACAAGGACCGGCTGGTTGGTTAACATGCACAGCACATCGATTGAGGATTCGGATGTGCCTGGAGGTCGTGCCGGCGTGGATTATTACTTCTTGCAGGACGACGGAGGAAGTTTCAAAGCTACTGTGGAGTACGATCCTTATTTCTTGATTTCAGTCAAAAAGGGCTACGAAATGGAGGCAGAAGAGTGGTGCCGCCGAACCTTTGAGGGCATGATCAAAAAATTCAAGCGACTTGAGAAGGAAGATCTCGACCTCCCAAATCACCTTCTCGGCTACCGGAAAACCTACATCAAGCTCAGCTTCGCCAATGTGAGCAACCTCTTAGAGGTTAGGAGGACTCTCCTTCCTCTCGCGGAGAAGAACAAAAAAAATGAGAGTGCGATGGACGCATACGTTGAGATGACCAGGTTTGTTGTGCATTACATGATTCGATCTGGACATTTGGCTTATTCATGGTGCCCATAGTGCGACTGCTGGTATCGACCTTTTTGACGATGAAATGATTAATGAGCAACGACCTAATGGCAACCTACAAGCGAGTGATTTTATTGTTGATATTCGAGAATACGATGTGCCATATCATGTCCGGGTCTGCATTGACAAAGGTCGGTATTCTCGGTGTCTCCCAGTGAGGTCTAACAGCTGACACATCGCAGACATTCGGATTGGAAAGTGGTACAATGTTGAGGCAGATCATGGCGTGATATCGCTGACCTGCCTAGAAGACCGGCTTCAGCGTGCCGATCCTGTCGTTCTAGCTTTTGATATCGAGTGTACGAAGTTACCGCTGAAATTTCCCGACGCCACGACGGATCAGATCATGATGATTTCATACATGATTGATGGGCAAGGGTTCCTAATTACCAACAGAGAGATTGTGTCCGAGGACATTCACGACTTCGAGTATACTCCCAAACCAGAGTACAATGGACCTTTCATAATTTTCAATGAACCCAATGAAAGAGGAGTACTTGAGCGATTCTTCGAGCATGTCAAGATCTCCAAGCCTACTGTGATCGCGACATACAACGGCGACTTCTTCGATTGGCCGTTTGTGGAAACAAGAGCTAGTATTCTGGGGCTCGATATGTATATGGAGATCGGCTTCCGGAAAAACAACGAGGATATCTACCAAGCCGATAACTGTGTCCATATGGATTGTTTCGCCTGGGTCAACCGTGACAGTTACCTTCCTCAAGGAAGTCGAGGATTGAAAGCCGTGACTGTTGCAAAGCTTGGTTACGACCCGGATGAACTTGACCCAGAGCTTATGACACCGTATGCGAGCGAAAGGCCGCAGACCCTAGCCGAATACTCGGTTTCCGATGCTGTTGCTACCTACTACCTGTACATGAAATACGTCCACCCGTTTATCTTCTCGCTCTGCACGATCATTCCCCTTAGCGCCGACGAAACGTTGCGGAAGGGAACAGGAACTTTGTGTGAGATGCTTCTCATGGTTCAAGCCTACCAGCATGAGATTGTCTTACCAAACAAGCACAAGAATCCCCCGGAGTCTTTCTATGAAGGTCATCTTCTTGAGTCAGAGACCTACGTTGGCGGCCACGTTGAAAGTATTGAAGCTGGTGTCTTCCGAAGTGATATCCCTACGCATTTTTCCGTTGACCCTACTGCGATTGATGAGCTTCTCAAGGATCTCGACCACGCCCTCAAATTCAGTATCGAGGTTGAAGAGAAGAAATCCATGGATGATGTTGTAAACTATGATGATGTAAGGGCACAAATCGTGGAGCGTTTGCTTGATCTCAAAAACAATCCAGTCCGGAACGAGGTGCCTTTCATTTACCATTTGGACGTTGCCTCCATGTATCCTAACATCATGATCACCAACCGATTGCAGCCGGACTCATTAATTGATGAGTCAAGCTGTGCCGCCTGCGACTTCAACCGACCCGGAAAAACCTGTGATAGACGCATGCCCTGGGCATGGCGAGGTGAATTCTTGCCTGCCAAACGTGATGAATATAACATGATCAGACGTGCCACAGCAAATGAACGTTTCCCAGGCCGGTACCCCAAGTCTTCAATGAGGTCCTTCGGCGAATTGAGCATTGAAGAACAAGCTGGAGTGGTCAAGAAACGGTTGCAGGATTATAGCAAGAAGATTTACCACAAGATCCACGACAGCAAGACGATGGAGCGCGAGGCTATCATTTGTCAAAGAGAAAATCCGTTCTATGTCGATACTGTCAGAGACTTTCGTGACCGACGATACGATTTCAAGGGTAAGCAAAAATCCTGGAAGAACAAAGCCGATGGTTTACAGTCATCAGGCGGTTCAGCCGCTGAAATCGAGGAGGCAAAGAAGATGATCATTCTGTACGATTCTCTCCAGCTTGCGCACAAGGTCATTCTCAATAGTTTCTACGGATATGTGATGCGAAAGGGCTCTCGGTGGTATTCCATGGAAATGGCCGGTGTCACTTGTCTGACAGGTGCACACATTATTCAGATGGCGAGAGAGCTTGTCGAACGCATCGGGCGTCCTCTGGAACTGGATACTGATGGTATCTGGTGTATGCTTCCGGGAGGATTCCCTGATAACTTTTCCTTCACTCTGAAGAACGGGAAGAAACTGAGTATCTCATACCCTTGTGTCATGCTCAACCACCTCGTCCACGCCAAATACACCAACCACCAGTACCAGGCGCTTGTCGACCCGAAAACCTTCAAGTATGAGACTCACAGTGAAAATTCCATCTTCTTCGAAGTGGATGGGCCGTACCGGGCAATGATTTTGCCAACGTCGAAGGAGGAAGACAAGAACCTGAAGAAACGATACGCAGTCTTCAATCACGATGGCTCTTTGGCTGAACTCAAGGGATTCGAAGTCAAACGAAGAGGAGAGCTGAAGTTGATCAAGATCTTCCAGACACAGCTCTTCAAATTCTTCTTAGAGGGTTCTAATCTTGCCGAGACCTATGCCGCTGTGGCCCGTGTTGCTGACCGTTGGTTGGACGTTCTATACGAACATGGAACGACACTAGCCGACGAAGAGCTCATCGATCTCATCTCTGAAAATCGAAGCATGTCAAAAACCCTGGAAGAGTACGGTTCCCAAAAGTCCACATCTATCACGACGGCAAAACGCCTGGCAGAGTTCTTGGGTGAACAGATGATCAAGGACAAAGGCCTCAACTGCAAATATATTATTTCGTCACGCCCACGAAATACACCTGTCACCGAAAGAGCCATTCCTGTGGCCATTTTTTCAGCTGAGGAAAACATCAAGCGATTCTTCTTGCGCAAATGGCTGAAAGAAGATCCTGGCGATATGGATCCCCGATCTGTGATTGATTGGAACTATTACCTCGAGCGTTTGGGATCCGTGATTCAGAAGTTGATTACCATCCCAGCTGCTCTTCAAAAGCTTCGGAACCCAGTACCCCGAGTTGCCCACCCCGATTGGTTGCAACGTCGAATCAAT